ACACACACACACACACATATATATATATGCACACACACGTGTGTGTATACGTGTGTGTATACATGTGTGTACATGTGTGTATATATATGATTCATGTCCCCTCATGACTCATATGTATGTATATAACGACATTACTTCTTTCTCATCTTTTAGGTCTCAGCTCAAATTTCCTCTCTTCAAATTGGCCTTTGCTCATCTTATCTTGGGACCTGAAATATCTGAATTTTTCTTTAATAGTTCATTATTTAATTACTTCAATACATTTTTAAAAATTGGAATTTTCTGTATTGATTTATTTATGAGTTTAAAGCAGGCTTTAAATTAGCTTTTTTGTATGAATTTTGGCTGGTTCTCATTAAAATGATGCATTTTGATTAATAATTTCCTCATCATTATTAATTGTAGACTTATATAATTATCATTAGTATATTTTAAGGGGTAAACATTATTTAATTAAGGAACTAAAAATACATTATAGCAAAGTGTCAAATTTCTATCTCTTTGCCTGTTTAGTAAAATTTTGACTAGATCATAACTGTTGCAGAATCATTTACTTGAGTCAGTATGTAGTATTGAGTGCCTATCTTGTACAATTAACAACAATAATATCACTAAATGGTAATGATGTTGTAATCTGATAGTTTTAGATTTTTTCCATGTAATCATAATAAATGATTGTTTTTACTGGTTTGAATGAACTCAGATGACTATCAATTTTTACCAGTATCCAAATGTTCTAAAACAAGACTTTAAAGTGTTTGCCAAAGTTTTTGTAAACACACACACACACTTACTTGTGAGTGCATATACACAACTATGCACTTGTGTGTGTGTGTGTGTGTCTGTGTGTGTGTGTGTGTTTGATATATGCAGATCCATATGTTGGATATGAGGTTTATAACTAGTGAAACCTGTCAAGAATAACTTAAATAGATATTTTGCTAACAGCTTTCCAAGAAAACAAAATGGCCCAATCAACTTTTTGAGAAAAATAGATGATATTAACTAGTAATATAATAAGCATGTCTATCCTGAACATTCTATTTACAAAAAAGAATACACCAAAAATGATATCTCATATTTACTTTTCAAAGTCAAATAGATCAGATAAATCTGAACATTTGTTTTGCTTAGAAATATTTAGGGTTTTAGTGGTAAAAATTTAATCTGTACTTTTAAAGTTATTTGCATTTTCCAAACATTAACCTACTTTATAGTGCTTCCCCTCATATATTATTCTGTATGGCATCTCATACTAAAAATGATACATTGCTTAAAAGCAGGTACAATTGTTGCATATTGCTGCTGTTATATTCTGTTCTGAGTACTGGAATTAAAATTAGGAAGTCTCATTATGCCTTATGTATAGTTTAAATTATGTCACTCTTTTAAGTTTTAAATAATCTATTTTCTTAAAGGAAAAAAATCCATTATTTTTATCCAGGGGATTAGAAAATAATAAGTATTTCTAATTGTAAACAACTTGGTCTACATTTGAAGTTTTAATTTGTAATAATTATTAGTATTCTAACCATTTTCATAGATTACAGAAAAGTATTCCCTTCACAATTTCCACAAAAATGAAACAGGATCATATGGAAAATTATCTTTTTTTTTTTTTTTGGAAGGGACTTCAGTTAACATTTAGGTTTCTGAATAATATTCTTCCAGTTTTTGAGGCAACAGGTTTCCTACTCTTTATGGAAGTGGAACTATTAGAACACTTTTTGTGTCTGAGAGTATGCTTTTAAAATATCCTGCTATCACATGGCTACTTCCTCCATTTGATTCACTGATAATGGAGTTACAACTAATGTATTCGTAGCTTGATTTGTGTATTTTTTTCTCCTTTATTTATTGATTCAGAGATGGAAATCAATGTACCATAATAAGCCTAGGGAAAAATCTTGAGTTTTATTTTTCAAGGGGTGGGGAAGTCTCAATCAGTATTATTTAATATTTGTGTCAAAACTTAGAAGATGAATTAGATTGCACGCTCATTAAACTAAGGGATGACTAGCCTGTTACTCTTAGAAGAACAAGTATTTACATGGCAGAGTAATTCATAAGAAAGAAAATCAATTATTAATACATAAGGCAGATTTCAGAGGAATAAACACAAATTGTTCAGATAATAATTGGATATATATACAATATGCCATATGTCTTTTGGAAATAACATATATTTATTTCCTCAAAGGGGTTGTAGAAATTGTGTACTTCGATATTATAGTTGTTTTCAGATGAGTAAGCTGAGACTCAGAGATGTGATATATCTTTGAAGTTAATTGCTCTACAATTCACATTACTCATTAAAGCGGTAATAACAGATTTAGCCTGTCTTGATAATATTGAAATATCAGGAATACAAAAAGATTTAGGAAGCAAAGTTAAATAGTTGCATTTATCAGTGTAGTCCTAAAGTATTTTTAAAAATAATGTATTGGTTAAAATTGTTATGAAATTTGGCTTATAGTGGTAAAACTCATGGCTCAGAGGTTCCAAACTTATAATTACGGCATTTAGTTGGTTATGATGGGCTCCTTAGTGGAGAATGCACTCCTACTGTTACCCATTTTTCTTCTTTGTGAATGCTGCTAGTCATGGCAGATTTAAATAGAGATGAAAACAGAAGCAACACACAGGAAGTCTGGATGATATAACACAAGTTATCACTGTTATTAAAAGAGTAAATAAAGTTTTATATCCTATTCAAATAATTCTAATCAGTAGCTTTGCCATTGACTATGAAAGATTCTATAATACATTAATAAAGTTCAATAAAATATGTAAAAATAAACACATATAAATAAATAATATTCAAATAAAATACATACATATATTTGTGTGTATAAGAATAAAAACCTAGTTATCAAACATTAACTGAATTTGGCTTCTAATCTAAAATAAATTTGTTGAATTCTGTTCACTAGAACAGCGGTCCCCAACTTTTCTGGCACCAGGAACCAGTCTGATAAAAGACAATTTTTCTATGAATGGGGTGGGTGGAGGATTAGATTCTCATAAGGAGTGCTGCAATCTAGATCCCTTGCATGAGCAGTTCACAATAGGGTTTGCACTTTTATGAAAATCTAAGGCCACCACTGATCTGACAGGAGGCAGAGCTCAGATGGTAATGCTCCCTTACTAACTGCTCCCCTCCTTCTGTGATGACAGGTTCCTAACAGGCCACAGACTGATAATAGTCTGTGCCCTAGGGGTTGGAGACCCCTGAACTAAAGGACAACCAATTTCCCCAAAGCACAAAAGTAGTAAAATCAAATACTTTTCTCTGAAAAATTATGTCAAAATTAAATATGTGTATATGTTTAGCAATTATAAAATGCAGATATGTAAAAATTGCAAATATTTTTTAATGTGATAATATGAAGCAGAGAACATTTTGCTAATTATCATTATTAATGTCAACACCATCAGCAGCATCATTTTACTGTCAATAGGAAGCATCTAAATAGTACTTCCTATGTACCCAGAAAGTTAAACACTAATATATAAAATACAGATAATGTATTTTATTAATGTATGTTATTAGTTACATATAATGTATGTTATTAATTACATATAATTATATACAATTAATTTTAGTATATAGTTAATATACTAATATGTAAATTGAACCCTTATTAGAACATATAATGTATGTTATTGGTTACATATAATTATATACAATTAATTTTAGTATATAGTTAATATACTACTATGTAAATTGAATCCTCACTAAAACCTCTTGAAATAGAGAGTACCAAGAAGCGAAGAGGCCAGTAAACAACAGGGTTCAAATTCAGCCAGTAATCATAATCACTCCAAATAATTATCTCTTTGATAGTACATAGTCTTTATTAATTCATTAGCAAATGATGCCATGTTACCATAGAAGCAATGTTTTCAACAAGCAGATTTCTGTTTTAGAGCCAAAGAAAGTTAATAGTAGCTATTGTGTTTGAGGAAAAAGGAATTGAACCATTCTGATATGCATAGATTTTTACTCATAGGTTTCATCTAATTTAATTCAAACCTGAATTTGAAAGCTAAAATAGCTTATTTTAAAACCAGCATATAGTCATCTACTGCTGATAAAATTAAACTATATTCCAGATTTCCATCAAATAGATTTACAAAGTTCAAGTCTTTATGGTAGACGCTAACAGAAGAAATAGTGAAGACTTCTAGATGGGAGTATCTGATTTCTGTTAAATACAAAGCTTCAATTACATCCTGCTGGGACAGCACTTGACTTTTTGGTTGTATAGGAATAAGTCGGGCTTATAAAAATAAGTATTTATCTGTCAGTTTCCTTTCAGATTACTTAAAAATATAGAACACACAATAACTTGACATGTCCTAAAACAAAAAGGGATAATCTACAACCTTAAATAAAAACATGTTTCAATTTATTTTTCTCGAAAATAATAACCATGATTATCAACATGTCCATCATACACAAGTGCACAATATTTCTCTTTTCTGGATATTTCCTGAAACATAGCTATCAGGAGTCAGAAGAAATAGTTACACTATTGAATTGATGGCCTACCCTAGAGTCTAAGTATATTTCTGATAATGTAAAAAGAGAAATAATTTTCCCTGCATTACACTACTTTCTAATTTTAATAAAATGATGTTACCCAATATCATCTCGTGATAAAAAAGTTTATGTTCATAATAATTGTAAAGCATCTTTTCATATGAAATGAAAAGATGTTCTGGAGATGTTAGGTAACATTTATTAGCATTCTTATATTATATACAAGTCAAATACATTAAAATGAAAACAAAATCATGCAATTAAAATAAATCATGTATAGCTATGAGAACAAAGGAGTAGAGAAATACTTTATTTCTATACATGGAGGATAGTGAAGGAATAATTGAATATATTAATTAGTTACTATAATTAGATATTATAATAGATACATTTTGTTTAAAAAGTAGGTAGTGGAAAAGTATGGACATTCAAATATACAATGGTATTTACTTACAATCAAGCCACTGTTTGCTTGCCTTTTTTCTCTGCCATGGATCCTTTTGTAGAAAATTCCGCCTGGATTAAATTGAGTACTCCAAATAATCATATCTCTTTGATAATATACATCCATCCCTGTTATTCTTGAATTATGTTCAATATGAGAAATTTGTTGATGATCGCCACTGTAGTTGAATGGATATATAAAACCCAGGATATCAGTGTCATTAGCAATGTAGAGAACTTGATCTTCAGAGCCTGGAGATTATTATAATAAAATACAAAAATAAAGTAAATTTCAACTAATGTTAAAAGCAATGATTGTACTTTTAATTATCTTGAACTTTTATTCTTAATACAGTTTTTCCTCAAAAATCAACCAATTTTATACTATCTTTTAGTCTTCATGACTTATGATTTCTGATACCCACTTATATAAACATTTACAATAATTATTGTTATAGGATTTTTAGTGCAAATCTTTCTTTACAGCTAGAAGTTAGGTATATAAAGATGTGCTTTCTCTGAAGAGAGATTATTATTTGATAAATCACAATACACTAGCTTATAATGTGTTGATTGTCAATATCCAGGTGCCATGTTGTATACTCATTAAGCTTCGAAAGTTTCTGAGTACTTAATTTATGCACCTGAGAGATCATTACCTTAGGCTAAGAAATAAAAATTAAGATATGAAGAATCTTCCTTTTACTGTATTTGTATATTTTAAATGCTTATTAACTTTTAGCATAAAACAATATTAGTATTTATTACATTAAAGTTCTATAATCTCTAAATTATCTAGAATCCTGCTAAGTGGAACATTTTATCTTAAATTTTTGATGCCTACAATAGAATACTAATGCCAGTTTTATACTAACAAGAAAAACCCTAAAGCAAATTCTTAAAATATCAATTAAAATATTAATGAAGCCCTAAAGAGAAGATTGATTGCATATATAGTTCTGCAAATAAACAATAATAATAATAATATCCCATGAGGTGCCTTTCAGCTCTGTAACATTAATAGCTCTCACTTAGGGAATGATTATTATGTGTCAGACACCACGTTAAGCCTTTCACAGTTTATCTCTACTTCTTACAACTATGGAAAGGAGGTATTAGTATCCAGATTTCATAAATGAAGAACTGAGGCTCAGACACTTTAGTGAATTCCTTGAGGTCACACAGTCTGAAAGGTGCTATGCTGGGATTTAAATCCAAGTATATCTAATGCTATAGCCCACAGGTGATCCATTACATCATACTGTTTTCTTCTTGTAATTACAATCATATTATAATAATAATGTCTGATCATACCTTGTAGCTAATAATACTGAAGCTGCAATATTATTTAGCAAAAACATACGAATATTAAAACCTATAAATACAGATTCAAACCCTAGTTTATCATTTAATATTTTTGCTTTCCTTTTTCTTTTTTTGAGATGGGGGGGGTCTCTCTCTGTCGCCCAGGCTGGAGTGCAGTGGCACAATCTCAACACACTACAATCTCCGCCTCCTAGGTTCCAGCAATTCTCCTGCCTCAGCCTCCTAAGTGCACACCACCACGCATGGCTAATTTTTGTATTTTTAGTAGAGATGGGGTTTCACCATATTGGTCAGGCTGGTCTTGAACTCCAGACCTTATGATCTGCCTACCTCGGCCTCCCAAAGTGCTGAAATTACAGGCAATAGCCACCACAGCTGGCCTATTATTTAATTTTTTTAAAAAATATTCTTGACAAGTAGAGGAGTTCTAAATTTGTAAGCAAGATCTTAAAACCTTTAAAACCCTTACTCAAAATTCCATTTTCGTTATAATGCTAATATTTAACTTTCTATTTTTATCCCAGGATTATAATTATTTCTCATATTTCCTTAGAGCAGACCATCAAGAGAGACACTTTATGTTCTATCACACTGGTTTTTAAACTTTTACCCCTTCTGAAAAATTGTTTTGAACACATGTCATTTTAATAGTAACCATGTATTTCATAGTCATTTCCATAAATTAGCTAAGATTAAATTCATTAATAATAACTAACCAACTTGCCAAATTAATCATAATTATAAATATTTTTATTTTATCAGAAATGAAGCCATTGCTGAAATGAAATTTAAAACAGTTTTCTCCATAAGATGTTTATAACAAAATTGTAACAGCATTTGCAGCAATGGTTATAATCTTACCTTTTGCTATGCAGGTGTTATTTCTTTCTTGAAAATTCTGGTCACACTCACATTTATATGATCCTTCCACATTTATACATTGATGGGAACATGTGCCAAACACCAAACATTCATTAAGGTCTAGAAAAGAAAAGCTCAAAATAGCATCATCATACCCCCAATTTGCATTCTTATTCTTTCCACATTTGAAAAAAGTCAAAATCATTTTTCTTTGTTTATCTTATTACTATTTTTATTATCCTTTTACATCTTTAATCTGTAACTTGTGTGTCATATATTTTGGGGGTATAATCATTATTCATAATAGTTGTACTAGAAAATTCATCAATTGACAGTGCTTTTATTAATCGACCTAAAATATTGAAGCATTCATATCAGGTTTCCCCAGGGCTTTCTTTTCCAAAATTTATTTATTTATTTACTTTTACCTTTAAAGTTCAAGGATAGAAGTGCAGGTTGGCTACCTAGATAAATTTGTGCCATGGGGGTTTGTTGTACAGATTTCCATTCATGCAAATGGACCAGTCTCGAGGTTTCCTTGTAACCTGTTTCTGATGACCTACCTCCATGCCTTTGTACATGTCATGGGCTATTCCTTCATCTTATAATGCCCTTGCTCACCTTTTCATACAGAATTTCTACTCATCTTTCAAGATCCACCTGAAACAAAGCCTTCCCTGGTCTTCAACAGTATATGGAAGTGATGAGTCATCCTTAGTTTCTCCAGTCTTTGCTCTCCTGGTGTTTCTTTCTTACACTGTTGCCTATATTTCAGGAATGCGGTTACATATTCATATCTTCTATTTGAATTTCAGTCCCTTGAGGACATAAATTATGTTATCTTCCCTTTTTTATTATCACATCCCACAATAACTGGTAGAGAACAAAGATTTGGGTATCTCTTAACACACTTCTGTACTTATTTTTTATGAAGCTACTATGTAACCAAAAGGGCTGTATTGAGGCTACATGAATTAAGCAAGCAAGCAAAAAACTGCATGCCTATACATGAATAAATACCTTTATATCACTAGCATAAATAAAGAAATCACAGGCAGTATTCTGCAGCTTGGCACATGACTAATTTTAAGGGTTTATGAAGAGCCAGGATTGAGGCCAGGTGATTCTGGGGAATTATCTAATCTTCCTCTCTTTTGTGTTTAGCATATCTCCTCTGCCCCATTTTATCACTTATAGTCTCCCTAATCACCTAATAAATCTGTAAGATAAATCCTTCCCTTGAATTAGAGAACTTAAGAATCAACACAGTAAGAATAACTATCTTTTGCATAGCACACAACATGTTCTAAGGGCTCAGTGGCAGAGACACTTGTCAATAACAGTGTCAAGGCTTAAACTCAGGTTTTCTGATTTTGTTGACTTCACTGTGATACTTTGCCCAAGAACACATAAGCATTTTCAGGACAACACATTGGCATTTGATTGAAATATAGAGTAAAGAGATATAGCAAAATGTATTTAATTGTTTTTAGTAAATATTTTACAGGAACGAAGTAGAATGGATCTTGTCAGTACTTAATGATTACAAGCATAACAAATATTTCTGATGTGTTTAGCACCTGTAACTTTGAATAGGTAAGTTATTTGCCACTATGGTTTCCCTTTGGCACAGAATCCAAGTAAGCCAAAATCTGCATGATTTGATAAAAATCTCAACTTTCTCACTTGTCACCATACTGGTCTGGACCATCATTTTCTCCTTATCTCTAGAAGGCCTGGATCATGAGCTTTTGAAGAGGATGAAGGAATTCCACATGTGCCCAGTACCCAAAACAGTACCTGGCACTCAGTAACTATTAATCCCCTTCTACTTTTCTTCCACCATTCCCCTTTACTTTTTTCCCTTTAGATATACTAATTGAAGTGTTTGGGCTTTAACATCAAATAGAAATTTCTTCTGCATTTTTTTTTCAGATACATAAGTGAAGGGCACAAAGAAATTTAAATTTTTAGAATATAGAATCCAAATTGTATTATCCTTCTTTGGCACTGAAATAGAACTACTTTTCTTAATATCAAAACTTTATTTATTAAATATAGATGAACATTTTATTAGAGTTCAAAAGTTACTTGTTTGACCTACAAACTAATATAAAAAAGTCGATTCATAGCAATTTAAAATAAAGAATGTAGTGTGCAGGTTATATTTGCTGTGCAATATAATGAAAAATTAAGAAAATTTTAAGAACATAATTTCTAAATTTAGTACATATATACAGGAAACACCCCCACTCACAAATAAACATTAGAAAATAAATGCTATTGAAATTAAAATCTTGAAAGAATTGTATGTGTGTGCTTATGTGTAATTGATAGAAAGTGCCTGGGAAAAAGAAATATCGTACTTTGAAAGACAATTCAGTTTTTAACTAAAACACAGAAAATGTAAGTTGTCAGCTTTCAGTCTCATGGTAATGGGAAAACCAAATGTCATGAATAATCTAAAGATGCATATAACCCAAAATGTACACAAACATGACGTGACTACACTTTTTCCCCTTTTGGGTGGGTAGAATCAATTCATTTAAACAATTTCCTTTTAATTAACACAAAGTAAAATCATTTTTCTCAACCCAAAATTATCAAAAGAGACATTACAAAAGCAAGCTGGCAGGTAAAAGCATTTTAGGACTTGAATTTAGCCTGGATAAGCCAGACTTAGTTATTTTAGATTTGGCTGTACTTGCAATCATATGAATATGAATACAAATAGCAGTTGTATTGGAGAAACTTGCAGAAAGTACATATGGATCTGTATTTCATGGTTCTATAGTTAGAACACTGATGTATATTATATTTACTTACTTACTAAAAGATTTTGGCTATCCTACATATTCAATTTTTAAGTGATCTCAAGTAAGTTGACAGATTTATGTAGACCTCCTGACTGAATTTTTAAAGACACATTATGATGTATTTAAAACATGGTTTTAGGACGAAAGCCCATAAGTCTCTAAATGTGAATTACCTATTTCAGTAATGCGAATGTCACCCTCAAGAGAAATGGGTCATCATAAACATATTTTTCATGAAGCAAGACTAATTCTCCAATAGTCCCTGAACCAGCAATTTTGTTATTTGCATTTCAAAACAGTATTGTAGCAATAGAATTGAAATTTCCTGCAGGCCTGAATTTGCTATAGAAAAGGTTTTGTAGCCTCTGTGGTGGTTAGCTCAGCTCCACAAACAAATAAGCTCTTGACCTGAGAGACTTTCACTCTCATAAGTGAAATAGTATCCCTAGATACACACCATTTTGATGAAAATCAATCTCCTGTGATCTCTCACAATTGAGAAGTCTTGGGAGTCTTTTCATAACCCAAAGATTTATGAGCAAGCTGTTGAGGAAATGTACTCTACCTTCACATTTTCTGTTTTTCATGTTTCTCTGAAATCCAGGCTTACAGCGACAGAAAACAGATGTTTTTATTTGATTACAATATGCATCATCTCCACATGGATTCACATTGTCTTCACAGGTATAATCAGTAGGAGCTGGGATTTAAAAATATGATCAAAACTAATATAATTCTAATTCCTGAAATGAGAGTTTACTTTTTGAAAATATTTGAAATGGTATTTATTATTCCATAGATGACTCATTTTGAATGTATGAAAGTATAAAGAATGATCTCATTTACATTAAATACAGTTCAGACCAAGCTGCTAGCTGATATTTAGAGCTGCTGTTAAGCTATAATACTTTTGAAAAGTGAGTCAGGAGTCAATGATTCTAATGACAGGCTGTCTTTAATACAGCACCATACACCAGCGCTACTTCCTTCTCTGAGAGCCAAAGCATTTCCTATAAGCTACCAAGAAATTTAGGCATTTGTTGCTAACCTAAACTTAATATTTGTAAACTCAATCAAGGGCACTGCTAAATTACTTAAGCAAGTTGGCTAAATCAGCCATTTAAATTTCATTTTTTTATGGTGGACATAGATATGAAGAGTCACATTTGAGTGTGTGATGTGCTCATTATGGTTGGTCACAAGCTGCAACATTCTAGAACAGACTAAACGTTACCTGTATTTCCACGACAGAAGTTGCAATTTTATTGCTTTAGCTCTCATTCAGGAAATCATTTTAGAAGGCCTTCTCTTTTAAATAAATGAGAAGGACATTATTATAGGGATAACCTTATATTATCTCTTAGTTACTTAAATCAAATTTTTGAGAAATTGATAAATTTAATTATTATAATTATGACCATTATTTGTCTCCACTGGTTTAGATATCTTGCAATTAGTCAAAATAAGCCGGGGAATGATGCCATGGTTTGCATACATGTGGCTATATCCTGGTGGGGACCGTGTCATCCCTCAGCAAGGAACAATTTAGATGCATAAATGAAAAAAAAAAAAAAGAAAAGATCCAAAATTAGGAAATATTATGTAACTTTTGTATGCAAACTGAATTTAGGATCACAAATTTAACTATTTTTCTTTAATAGAAAAAATCAAATGCCAAGAATGAGTTAAACACAAAATTGTTGGCATTCAAGGTCTAGTAACTAAAGTAGCCTGGCACTCTAACAACAACAAAAAAATCACATCTTCTGTAAGAATAACTCAGCAACAGATTAAAACTTTTTTAACCATCTAATAAATTAAGATCTTTACTATCATTCAACCAAATACTTCTGTTTATAAAATTTAAAAAACTATATTTATATTTTATAAGATATAGATTACCTTGCTGACATCAATTTCTATATCTGAATATTGATTTCTCAGCTTCTGCTTTCATAAGGGTACTCATTCATTACAAAATCAACTCATTCATTACAAAAGTCCACTTCAAATTTTCTAAAATTAACTTAAGTAGTATTCTAAGGTTGCTTTGGCAAAGGTTTTTTAAAAAGGGCAGCAGTCAAGCATATTTTGAAGAGTAATATTTTCATCCAGAAAATCTGAGTCATGTACAAGCAGAAGTTAGACTTGTGTATCCCAGTATTTTGCTTAACAGAAAACAAACTCACCTATTCTGCATCCTTGCTCATCTGAACCATCTCCGCAATCATCAAGTCTATCACACTGGAGATTCATAGGGATGCATTTTTTATTACTACAAGCAAACTCATCCTTTTTACAAGGCCTTGCTTTATATGTAAGCTTACCTATAGAGTCATTTAAAAACTGGTTAGTGTTTCACAGAATCAAAACACACTTATTGAGCATGTAACATCTCCAAAATTGTACTAACTACTATGACAAACATGGGTTTACAATCTTTTACTTGCAGCTCTCAAGGCAAAATTTATAAACATTCTGAAATGTTTGGATTGTAGAAAAGTGAGAAATTATTTACTTCAAGTAAGTAACACTGATTTTTACAGAAATTTTTAAAAATATTTATCCTAAGTGGAATTTTTTTAAAGGGTAATAAGGTCAAGCTTTTCCTCCAAATGATTTTGCTACATACATGAGTCTTTTGTATAAAAAGTTTTTTGAACTTCAGAATTTTAAAAAAGGAACTGTATATACATACAATCTATATAAGCTCCCTTTCTTCAAATAATTAACCCTTTAGAGAAGGAATATTTTTAAATCTCTATGCTGTTTCTCCAAGATTAATATTTTCTGAAATAAAATGGTTATTGGGAACTCTGAATAAAGGTGCACAGCTACAATGTAAATGAAATATGGCAGAATATTTTTATACCTTGTCAGAAGATCAAATGTCTGAAAATAATTCCCTCAGACATCCACATAAAAGATATATTTTAAATAATGTCTGTGCCCCAAGTCATCAGAGAACCTTGTAGCTATCACTGAATTATTTCACATTAAGCAGATTTACCACTACAGTGATCTTCATCTGAGTTGTCCCCACAATCATCAATCCCATTGCACATTTGCTCAGACTGTAGGCATATTCTGTTATTTCTGCATCTGTGAGGTCTTGTAGGTGGACAAAGAAATTTGACTGAAGGGAAAAAAAGAAAAAACAGAGAAGCTCGTTCGGATACACTGATTTATGAAGAACATTCTTCCCTTTCTATTTTTTCTTTCTTTTCAAATCCAAAAGCTACCTTTCCTAAAAATCTTTTTTTTTTTTTTGGTTGTGAAAATTGTCTACTAGTGGCTACCAGAAAAATATGTGATAATCTAGTTATTTATATTAAATACAGAAAAATGTGCACAGCTGAGGATCTTAAAGGAAATAAGAAAGAGCCAAACTTTATGGCCTCATTTCCAGATGCCTTATCTTAGCTTACTTCACTCGGTGTACTAAATTAATTTATGCCTACAATTATGCAATGTGGCAGGACACTTAGCTATCTCAAAGAGCAATTTCACACAGCACAGAACTGCAGCAAGCATATGCTACAGGCCCAAAATTGAAAACAAGTCATTCAGTGAAAAGAAACAAAAATCCCAACAATTTTATAGCTTGATTTCTTACTCTTCGTCTCTGTAAACAAAAGTTTAGATATGTATTTGAGGCACAAAGATTATCTTAGTTATTCATTTTTAACATGCATGTTATTGTGTGCATTTAAAAAGACCACAGTGAAAGTCAGGAAATTTTACACTTTTCTCCTCTATTACTATCTAATCTGAAGATTTCCACTCTTAAAAGCAGGAAGTATCTGTCATTAGTCTTCATCCTTAGATGTGAAATTTTCCAGAGCTCTGTCTTTATTCCCCTGATGTTCTCACTCCTGAACTCTTTGCTTAGGCATTTTTATTCTTTCTCATTGATTTACTTGCCACTATATCCTGAAGACTTTCAATCCTCTATTTACTTCAAGCATCTCACAATTGATTGTAGGACATCCCCTCAAGAGTCTTAAATTTAACAAGGTCATCACTAAGCTCTTTATCATCCTCTTCTTAACCCTTTGTTCCCAAACATAATTTATTTCCATCTTTCACTTGGTGGCATATCATAGCCAAATAGCTTATTCTAATAATAGAATAATTCCAAATTCTAATAATAGAATAATTCCAATAATAGAATACATTATTCTAGAATAGAATTCTTTATAGAATACATTATTATAGAATAATTCTATTATAGAATATTCTATTCTATAAAGTTCTACAATATATATAATATATAATTCTGTTATAGAATAATTATAATATATAATTTTATTAAAGAATATTCTATTATAGAATTATAGAATAATTCCAAAATAGAATGCATTATTCTAATGTATTCCTCTCACTGGCCATCCATTCTCAGTAGCCACCAAGTCCTATTGTTATGTCACCCAGGTTTATCATCTTCTAGCTATCCTTACCAGTTATAATCACAATAGCTTAGCTATTTATTATCTTTTACAGAGAAATATTTTAAATGTATCCAGTTTTATAACCCCTCATCGGAGCCTCAAAAAGCCATAAGAAAAATCAGTCTAACATATTCATGTAATCATTTGTTCTACAGTTACCAATTTCCTTGAGAATAATTAAGATATTTTGAATGGCGTAATAGATTTGTCATTATCTTGCTCATGCCAATCCTGCAGACTCATCCCTTGTCCCTCTTGATATTTGAGCAATACTACTTTGTAATAAAGTTGTAATAGCTTCTTGAATATATTGCACTCTATCCCTGACCTCCTTGCTTTAAGTAAAATTTTATTACTTAAAAAAATCATTTTCCAAGTATACTCCCTCCTCTTCAGGTCTTTTAGGAATGTCCCTTAATTGGCTCAAACCTTACGTCACCTCATGTTTGAAAACATCCTAGTTTCCCACTACAGCTTCCATAGCTTTATCCTATCTTTACTTTCTATTTTTTTTAAATAAACAAAAACAAAATAATGTTGTTTTGAAGGCTAGACATTTGATTATATCTTCACACCACTACTATTTTTAATCAACTTCAAAAAACATCACCTTACCCTAATTTACTGAAAACTAGCATATTCCATCATAGTCTTTTAAGATCTCCATTTAAATTCATTCTAGCATCCTAGATGATTTCAACATTCTCATGAGGAAACCAACCAATAATGGGGCTTCTGAGCTCTTTAAGTTTCTTAAACCCTATGTCCTCCTACTCTAATCCTACCTAAGCTACCACTCTCCTAGGAGGTTTTATACATTGGTGGATTTCAGCAAATTTATATTTTTGATTCACAGTGGTGGTTTCTGTTGCTTGCAGTTAAGAATTCTAACTTATATACACAGTTGCAGCATAAATTTGTTGTTTCCCATAATTTACTTTATTTGTCAAACCACTACTATGAATGCCCCATTTTGACCGCAATCTCTCTTTTGAAAGATTTTTAATCCAAGCAGTATCATTTGATTAAAATTCTCTGAAAAACTACTCTTCAGCTTTTTCTTAACTCTAGGTAATTGATGCAGCTACCTTTTCCCTATTCACCAGTGATTTTTGTCTGTTTTTGCCTCCGCATTAACTGCAGATTATAAAAAATCTCTAATACACTGGACGCTGTACTAAGTACATGTGTATTGCGCATGCACACACACACACATGCACACACATACATATGCACACACACACACACATATATATATACAGAGAGAGAGAGAGAGAGAGAGAGAGATTACTTTCTTGCCTTTTGCAGTAATGATTCAAATGTGCATTCCCTCCAAACCTCCCTACACCATACTGCAACCTTCTAAATATTAACATGCTTCCTAGTGTACAACAATAAGTAGAAATACAAATATGGGAAATTTCTTAACATAGTATTAAATAAAGATCTACTTCTATCTACAGGTAGCCTATCAACTCATTTCTATATTTTAAGAGCAGAGATAGAAGAATAATTGACTCCTATGTAAAAGTAATAATTTTTCTGGAATTCATTTTCCCCTGTCTTTGCATAAACCATCAGATCTTTGCTAAAGCATGTCATAACCTTGGTGTCCCTAGAGTCTCACTCTTCTTTCTTTGCAATTTCTTCTGTGGTCACTCACCTGAGTCTCTTCTGGCAGCTCATCTTCACTTAGATGCCTGCTGTCACTCTAAATTCTTTGATAATCCCCTTCCTGTCCTATCTTTACTTCCACCGAGCATAATATTAAATATTTCATTGTATTTATTATGCTGGCTATCGAATTTATATCCATAAACTATCCCTTTCCTTTCAATATGAGAATCAAACATCTAATGCCCACTTGAAATCTCTACTCGAAATCTCCACGCAAATGTCTCCTCAAATGCCTCCCAGTCCACTCTTCTAATCTTTACTTGCAAAACTGTTCCTTTTCCTATGATCTCCTTCCATTCAAATGGGAAAGCAAAAACAACATACACATTATACTCCACAACTTTCTCTCATTCACCATATCCAATCCACCATTTAATCCAATTTATTCTGCCCTTTATATCATCTTCAAATCTGTCTACATTGTGCTAGCACATGCTGTCATAATCTCAACCCAAGCTACTAGCATAGTTTGCCTAAAGTACCACCATGGTTTTAACTATTTTTAATACGTTCTATCCAATATTTATATAATTTAAATATGACCAGGTACCACCTCTGCTTAAAATTTCTTAGTATTTCCAATTATTTTCCAGCTAAAACTTAGAACCACCAGGTGGCATATATCTCTGCTGTCTATAGTTTCATCCTAAGCAAATATAGATGATCTCCAATTTAACAGTAGCAAACTGAAAACAATTTGCAGTTTTCTGACTTTATAACAGTGTGAAAACAATACATGTTCTCTACTCACTATGGGATTATGCCCTGATGTATCATTTATAAGTTGAAAATATTTTTAAGTTGAAAATATTTTAACTTGAATAAATTCAAACCTACACTGTCAATTTACATTATTTTCAATTTACAATGGGTTTATCTGGTTAAATAAAGGAGTGTCTCTACCTACCTGGCTCTGTGCTCTCTGGGAACATGGGTCCTTCACTTCCTTGAGTAATTCGTGGTTTGCTCTGCCCCAGAGCCTTCACATAGCTTATATCCTTTGCCTGCAATGTTGTATCACTCTTTCACTCCCAACCTGAATCCTTTTCACTTACTCAGCAGCTAAATACTTTCAAGGCCTGAACTAAAATGTTATTTCTCATACCGTAAGTTTGATAAAATCTTTCTATTCCATACTCTTACAAATTACTATGCTTTTTCTTTATAGTACGTATCATAGTTTGTAATTGCATATTATTGTGCACAAGACTATCCGTCTTCCATTAGATTCTAAGCTCTGCGAGATTAGAGTTTGTGTTCACTTCTCCCATCATTATATCACCAAACTAATCATAGTCTCTTACTGAACAACTCTCTGTTGAATGAATGAATGAATGAATGACACCTTTTCTCATGCTATTTACTTTGCTTAAGTGAATGACACCTTTTCTCATGCTATTCACATCTGCCTTTCTGAATTGTTCTTTAGGCAGAGTTCAGTGAATCTCTCTGCTTTTTCCATACTTTTGGTTAATTATATAATTGCTTTAAATACAAGGTACAAAAATTATTTTATTTGTCCAGCCAAAATAAGATCTCCTTGTCAAAAAGAACCATTTTTCCCCCTAATTATTTAGCACAATTTCTGGCACATAATAGCTTGACTCAATGTTGATATTGCTCACTGAGAGAAATGCAAAAAACGTTCACACAGTCAATCTGGATTTTTCAAGGTTTCCCATCTGTGCTATGTGGAATGCTCCTGAGAATCAATTCCTGGCCCTGGAAGTGGCACTAGGAGAGTGTGACTCTGTAGACATACATCAATTACTGAACATTTCTGATTCCACTCACTGGTTTTGTGGTCAAGTGGGATAGAGAATAGAAAAAATTATGTAAATGATAAAAATAATAGGTTCTGGATTGATGTTGGTAGATCAGCTCTCGTATTGCTTGATATATTATGATTCAAAAACAATATAATCGCTGGTGATTCCCCAGAGTTTATTTATAAGATTATATAAAGAAAACTTAAACTAAAACTTAGTTGCATTACTCATCATAATGAGTTGTATGTAAAGAAAAAAAACTCTCCAAAGCCCTTTTTTTTTTAACTTTTAAATACTTAAAAAGGAAAGCTACCTGCTTGTTTTGTATTTTTTCACAACTGTGACATCAATAGTGAAATGTCACCACCTATATCTAAATATGGCCTTAACTTGATGCAACAAATAGAACAAAATGTGTAAGTATATACACTCATGCTGTATTGTCTTTAATTTACAGAATGTGCTATTGAGTTATATCTGAAGTGACAATATTTTCCTTTAAAGTATAGGTGAAACTACAACATTTATTTAGAAATTAGATATAAAGTATGAGAACAGAGACTCAAAAAATTCATTAAAATAGAAGGGATCCTTTATTTTACTGATATAAAATTGAACTTTAATATTTGTTGTTTGCATAAGCATATACCTGAAAATATCAGTCAAGAGAAACTTGAATTTGGAGAAATGGTAACTTTTGTTAAGATTTTTAGGTTTAAATGTTAAATAACTCCTAATTTCAGGTCTGTGGCTAAGATTTGTAAGGATATAGACAGATAGATATGTAGATAGATGGATATCAGACAGATGATAAATAGATGACAGACAGAAAGAGAGAGATTTCTTTAGTGGGTGACTTGTGGAACTATGAGATTTTATTATTCATGTATTTTCCATTTACTTATCTGTCTTCCCCCCAAAAATTAGTCTAAAACTCCAATTTGATGTGAAGCCAAAATTCTTATATGAATCATATTCAATTAAAAAATTGACTACTCTAAATCCACATAAAGAGACCACAATCTCTCTTCTGAATAGTGTTGACCTGTGCAAGTTCAGATTTAGGATGAGTCTCTATAAAGTCGTAACCTCTGAGCAGGGTAATCTCTTTATTACCTGAATGAAAGCTGTGTCTGTGGTTATACTTTATCTACCTAACCCCAGGATGGTATAATTTGTAGTTCACTTTACCACTTCATGGATTCATGCTGGTGCATGAGATCAGAGATAAAAGGATAATCTAGAGCCATGTGAAATGCCATACCACACATATCAGGGGCTTCATCAGAGTTGTCTCCACAGTCGTCTTCTCCATCACACACCCAGAAATGTAGTTTGCAAAGAGAATTATTGCAAAGGAACTCGTCAGCTCTACATATATTTCCTCCTTTATTTTAAAACAAGAAGAGACAAAGACATTCAGGGTAATCAATGCCGGTCAACAGGACACATATTCCTCTAATTCTTAGCAAACATGATCTAGTTTCTTGCTTCCTTATATTTATTTTGAGCATAATACTAGTAACAGGAAACATTCAATTTTTTTAATAACATGTATTCATTGTTTATGTTTCAAAATGTTCTAATATTACTCTCATATATGTCAATTTTTAAGAAAATACTGATAAGATTTTAAAAGAAAATTTTTAAAAATATGTTATCTTCAACTTCACACAGTTTTTATATTACTGAATACACAGAGATTTAGATTATTTTAGTTTTATTGTAATTTTTTAAAATTTGTTTTTCTTGAAAGAAAACACACTTTTAGAATTATTAGACAATTCAGCTGTATCTGAAATACTAGATCACTAAAAACTTAGAATAACCAGTAAAAAGGTTTTTGCAATCACAAAGAAACAATTAATTTTGTAACAGCAATAAGAACTTGCACATATTATCCAATATTTCAGTTTTTTAACATAAAAGTTTAAAGCATTATTTTTTGGATTTTTCAAATGTTTGCATTTTTATCTTTTAACAAATAAAAACATTAGGAATACAAAAATATTCTAATGTAAAATTTTTAAGTACATCTACCATATGCAAAGGACCTAAGTAAATAAAAAAATTTGGGTTCTATGTCTAGAGATGTAGCAATATATGGTAGAGACTACAATGACTTGGGACTTAGGAACTGTGGGTTCTAGTTTTGCTTTGGATAACTCCATTAATTTCTCTGGGACCCAGTGTTTTTACACGTTATAGAAGAAGTACAGTTAAAGTGATATATGGGGTCATAGGTGCAAGAAGTACCTGGGGAAGCAACACAAATATCAGACTATAGAATTAATATAAATAAGATTGCTCTCAAAGAGTTACAGTACCTAGTTAAGCCTCATACATAGGTAAGAGATATGATTCATGGGTTGGCTAGATTTGACTTACCGAAGGTGTTAACATATTTAAACACACATATGTTCGTCAAAATATGGGGCAGAGCAGTGACAGTGAACATCCTTAAAAGCCTAGAAAATATCCAGAAAAAGCCATTGTTCCTCTGGCAGATGTACTTTGGAGAGAATAGTGTGACTGAACTTGTGAAGGTCAAATAGCTCTTCTTGCTCTGAGTTCTGACTTGTTACACAAATCTCTGATAATCCACATCAAGTAGAAAAAGGTTTAACTTAAGAAGTGGTAGAATTGGTTAGATTGTAGAATGAAAACTCTAGCTATGGTGTGGAGAATTTAGAAATAAAGATAGCGACAGTAAAGACCACACTGGAGGAAAAAGACATATTTCAACAGAGATCATGGCAATCCAGAGAAGAACTGATGATAACTTAAACTAGAGGAACCATGGCTGAGAGGCTCTTCAGAAGGAAAACTCCTCAGGCCCTGATGGCTAAGTAGATGAGGGTGGCAAAGGAGAGTGAGCAGAGAAAGAGGAAACTCATTTTTTTAGTTTGTTTGGGCCATTTGGTAGATGCTGTTGTTCATTAAATAAAGGAACACAGCAGGAGGAGTAGGCTTAAGACATAATTCATTTAAGGTACCAGCAGACAGCCATGTGGTGATGTCGAGCAAGCTGGTGGATAAATATGTCTGAAATGTATTTCAGATTTTTGAGCTGTAAATGTGCATCTGGCAGTAATCAGAATATAGTTATGATTTGAAGTTTAAAAAAGAACACAGTGAAAAACAGATTGGGTAGATAAAGAAGAATCTACAAAAGAGACTGAGAAAAAGTAATCAAAATGCTTGGAGAAATATCTGGAAAGATGGTACCAGACAATACATAGGAAAAAGATTCTAACAAGAGGGATAGAACATGTAACTAATGTAAAGTAGGTTTAGTGAAATGGTGGTGGCTTTAATGAAATGGCTGTCATTGGCTACTGAATGAGAAGAGGAAGTCTGGCATAAAGGGAAGAAAGAGTCCAGAAAGTGAGCCTCATTGCTTGTGTGAGGAAGAACAAATCCCTGAACACATTTAAAGGCTTCTGATAATAATTCAGTAGACAAGGTACATTTGAGGATACAAGAAAGAAAAAGGGTAATTAATGTAATGAGCTTCTGGAGCATCCAGAGAGTGGGAGAGATTTCAGAACTAGAGCAAAATGAAAGGCATAGACTTAGACTGGAAATTAAGTAAGTGTTCTGTTTTGGGAAGAAAGAAGGAGGAAAGTCTGAGCACAGCTACAGGTAGGTTTGTTAGCTTGGTGGCCAGATGTTGAAAAATTGTCATGATATTTATTATTTCTGTAAGGACGAAGATGAAATTATTAATGAAGAGAGTCAGAGGTGGCTTAGTAACAGATTTGAGAGGGTTGACTCTTTAAAAACCTGATATGATAATGGCAGAAACATGACTAGGAAAACCTGGGCAGGCTGCTTAGAATGCTAAGTGGTAGTTAAAGCTCAGGCCAAGAACTTACAGTGATACTGATCTGAATAACAGTATAATTGTCTGCAAAAATGCTTAGTAGAATTGGTAAAGCTTATGTTGTAATCTCTGAGAACCATCAAACTATGAAACAGACAAAGGCAAGGGCTGGATGAATCCACCAAGGTGATACCACCATGTGAGACTGACAGTTCCACATCTGTCGTTGGGATAACCCTTTCTTCCAACCTTCTGCAATGCTAAGCTCCATACTGCTATAATTATAAAATTAATCTCAATTATGAAAACCTATGCAATAAAATTCAATACCATTTAACAACCATCTCACTCTGAAGATGATGAAAAAGATGGCATGTGCAGTATGCAGTCCTTTGTACTAAATAAATTGAAGATGAATACCAGTATGAAGTGAGTATATTGCCTTAACTCAAAATCAAATCCATAGAATATGAAGCAGAGTTCACTTTCAGCATAAAGGTTCTAATGACTAAATCTCATCACATGCTCCATTTTGCAATGGATTACATTAAAACAGAATTTGTGAATTTCTGACATTCTCTGATTATTTTAGAAAATGCTATTTGCACCATATATATAGCAGTCTTGTTAAAAATGAGCTCCCTAAGGTATTGCATTAGATAACATTATAATTTTCTCCACATGAGTGTTGGACATGCTACTGATTTTATTTAAAGAAGAGAACTACAAATAAAATCATATTGTAAGAGAAAGGCAAAGGTTTTGTGATAACCTGCCAAAGACTTGATGTTGTACTGCAAAATATTTGCATTTCAAAAAAATGCATCATGGTGCTACCATGACATCCTGAGATTCACTTAAAATGCCTTTATTTTTAAATGGCATAAAGCAAATATAAACAACAAAAAAAGGTATAGTTTAAAGAGACTGGCTGAATTGAAATTTCAGTTTCCTAGTCATCTTCTTGATCAGCTCAACAGGAAGTTATTAGAAAAACAGAAAAGTATAATTATAACAGAGGCCTTGGCAAGTTCATATAAATCTGGTCAAGTGCATCATCACTGAAAATAAACATCTAGCGTTCTCATCTTAATTAGGTTGAGAGAAGCCTTAATACATGATAATACTTTATAATTTATTTGACTAGCTTACATGTTGTTTAGCTGGCAATTACTCAAAAGAGAACTTCCCAATATTTTCCAGCAGCGTTACTTAAAGTGCAAATTTTGAAAGCTCAGGCCAGAACAAGCACCATACTTCCTTAAGGCCATATGTTTTACCTTTAAAAATGAGAATGCTGCTTTTAATTCCAGAGTATTTTGGACTTTTGTCTTTTAAAGTAAACCAGTCAAACCGATTCTTTGGGAAAATGTGTCATGACTGTCCTTCAGCTCTCTTACATTCCAGGCCCCAATGCTCAGCTCTTATTAGCTCATGTATCCAGATTGGAGATAAATGGAAGAGAGATTTAATAGAAAAGATGCTTATTTTGACATCCCATTTCCTCAATGCCTTAAAATGCTTTTATCCAATACCTAAGCCACTTCCTGAAAATAAATTAAATACTAGAAATCTGAAACTGGTAATGCCTTAAGTTACATTCATATGGGATCAAATAATTTAACCACTAAAATGTGTAATTGAAACTTAATTACCTAGCAGCAAAGAAAACCAAGTTAGAAGTGTGAATGGAGAGGAAGGAGACTTTGAAACATTTGTAAATGATTGAATTAAAGGCTCTCAACTCTTTTTCAGTCATTAACATTAAATATTTAGTAGAATAATTTTGGATCTGAAAGGTACTTGAGGTTTTCCACTTTGGCTAGGATATAACACATAAAGAGGCACAGTAGAAGGTAAGCCTGGGAGGGTAAAATGGGATCATTCTCTCGTAACCCTGATTACTAGCTTGAATTGTTTCTATGTAATCAGGTGCCTTAAGTAAAAACTGATATAATCAGAGGGACACTATATAAGTCCATGTTATATAAAGATGAAGCTTGTAACAGTGATTAGAATGCATTGAAAACCAGCTAAGTGGCATTACGCCCACCCAAGCAAGGAGCAATGGGAGAATAAACTAGACTGGTAGTAGTGATTGAAGCTGAGCAACAGAGGTGATTCGCTAGAATATGGAAAACAAGGACTAACTTAATTGTCATCCAAAACCTTTAAACATAAAAGTCACATGAGTTATGCTGCCAGACTGTCCACAATGCCTGCTGCCTCTAGAGTGACCAACTGCAGTGAGTGTGAGAACTTAGCCTATGGTAGAAATAGTCATTATGGATAGTTAACCTTGTATGGCTCTCTACTACGAATGACAAATTCAAAACAAAACTGAAGGCCAACTCTGGATGCACTGTCTATGAGTTAAGTCCTGCTTCAAAGGTGCAGTAAATTAAAAAAAACAAAACAAAAAAATAAACTATTTTTTTTCTGCATAATATAACACTTCATCAGATTTGGAATGTAGATATTATCTAATCATAAACATCTGATATAATATTAAAGAAAATAAAAAAATGTTTTTCTTAGGTGACTACATATTTACAAAAGAAAATATTTTAGATAGATTTAAACTGTATAAACCTAGAGTGCACATTAAAGTGCCTTGAATCATGTGGCAATGTCTAGTACCATCTTTACTGATGATCTTTCAAATACCAAGTGTAAAATCTATTGAGAGACTTTGTAAGCAGGTCACAAGAAATTTTGTATTTACAAAATATATTTAACAAAATAAAAATAACAAACACTGATTAATTTGGGATCATTTTAAGCTTCAGCACACAATGCTTTGAGAAATAACTCTAAAGTAGTAGCAATCGCTGCATTTAATGTGGTGGTTTACAACTAAAATGTTTTCTGTCAGGAAATGGTCTTCACATAGCTGGGAAATAATATATGACAAAACAGAAAGTTGTCTTTTAGACTGACAAAAAATGTAGGTTATTTTCTCAATGATATGGCAATGCGGAAATTTAGGGATTTGGGGCACAACCTATGACCTATATATTATACAGCATATGAATGTGTGCAATTGAGTATGCCATATGTTGTTTCTGTATTTTCAGAGTGGGGAAAGCAATGCAAAAGAAAAGAATATACGGAAAATTCAGAATATACTTTTATAGTCATGGTTTTAATGGCCACTTTCTGTGTATTCTCCACATATCCCTATGATCGACCCGGCATCTAGTCTGAAATGGTAGACACTCAGTAAACACTTGCACTGTGGTCACATCTGTCATGCCCAGATTGAGATTACACTCTGACTGACAATGATCTGGATTTTGCATGTGTAGACCAGGCTGTTATGTAATGAAACTTGGAAGAGTAAAGAGAAGCATCTAATGATCCTATCCTCTGCCTCTAGCACACACTATACATTCTGCACAGCACTTTAACTTCCATTGTCTCACAGGCACACACACAAAAAAATACCTTACCTCTGTCACAGTTTTCTTCATCACTGCCATCCACACAGTCATGAATTCCATCACACAGCCATCTAATTGGAATACAGTGGGCTTTATTTTTGCACCGAAACTGATCTTCCTTACATTCAGTCACACAGTCCATCTGTTCAAATACAAATGGACACTGCAGTTTTCATTAATGATAATGACACAATCATGGGCCAAATAAACATGCAGCTTGTAATACTAGAGATTTATTATACCCTGGGCTTTCTCTTATTTTGTATTAATGAACATAACCTCTACAAATGGCAATGAGCTTTAGTATATGGACAGCATAGAGATTCAGGTATTTGCTTAAATGATTGCATTAATGTACATATCCAACATGTTAAACTGCTCTCAGAATCAAGATTCTCTTTATTTTTATTACATTTGTTTGCCCAAATCTAATTCATGTAATTCAAATATGTTAATTAAACGATATGTTTTACCTCATCTGAACCATCAGCACAATCATATTCTCCATTACATTTCAAAGATGCTGACATACATCCTCCACTGGCACATATATATTCACTTGATGAGCAAGTAGGAGAAGCTGAATACAATTATAAATTTGAGATTTAGATACAGTAAAAATAACTGGTATGAGAAATAAAAACATATAAACAAATAAATATATGAATTTATAGATGGTAATAAAAATACTTTATATTATATAACTATAATGACTGCTATTACAGATTGATTTAAACTATTTAAATAAATAATTTTGCAATTATTTACAATATTACTGCATTGTATTAAATATACTTTGTGATGTAATACCCTGTGCAGTAAGAATTTAACTCAATAGTCCGTAGGGGGGGGAAAGAAAAAAACCTTGCTATCCTTCATCCCTTTGATTTTGAAGAGTTACATAATTTTTTAATAATTTTAAATTAAATTATTTAAAATATTAAAGTCTCAAATTATTTTCAAAGCTGTAATAATATTTAGTAATCTTTGAGTATGTTAATTCTCATATTCACTGTATAAAGCCGAAAGTAGAAATCTTGGCATGGTCTCATAGACCCAATGATATCCATTTGTTTGCATTAACATAAATGTAGCATTTGAATAAGTTCTAAGAATCGTATTGTTTGGGGATTTTAAATATGAATACATGTGTAATTAACAGAGTTAGAAAGTGCAGTATTCCTTTTCGATGTAGAAATTAAGAAAAATAAGCATCTAAATATGTTATTTACAAGTGTAATATTTGCAAGTTTCTAATATTTATAAGTGTATTAGTCACAGGATGTAAATACTACCCAGTCTAATTAATTTACAGTAATTACAACAGCTGCCTTTGTCTATGGGCTTGAGTTGTCTAGGCTTACATTCAAACATCTGGGCTTTTGACCTTATGTTAGACCACTATGTAGCCTATTGTACTTACTTAATAACTTTGTGGTCTGAATTCCTTAGCTCAGGGATACTAAAATGCTTTTGCCTTGAGTTTCAATTCCTTTTAATTGGCAGTGTTTGCCTAGGAATCTGTATTCATAAGGACTCTAATAACATGTCTGTATACAGTAAGAAAGAAATATGTGATCAATTAACAACATAGCCCATGGGCCTGGGCCTGGGGCATAGTAATGTGTGACCCTTGTACCTGTGACGCTGACCTGGTCTCTCAAGGTAATGTTTTCATGGTCATACATACATTATAGTATAGTTTTTCACCAGTAATATTTTTCTATAAGATAATGTAATTAAAATATATCATAAAAAGATTAAATGTCTTAATTGAGTATATTTATAGAGCCAGCTAGCACAAAAATTGAGAATGTATCTTTTTTCTGGTTTTGCTTCTTAATTTTAACCAAATTTTGGCTCAAGATGTAAATACAAACAATACAATTATGCTTCTTTTTAGCTAACATCATGTTGAAATGAGTACATTCTATTTCATAACCATTTTCATAACTAAAAACCCGTCTTTCACTGTACTTATAATTTCAACAGATTTTGCGTGGCTATCTTTAGGAAACAATTCCAAATGGTATAATAAGATATAGAAACCAGAAAATCAAATTTGGGGGAATTATGCTTGGATTCCATTCATAAGTAATGATCTTATCTTCCAAAACACTTTCAAAACATATGAAGAACACACTAATTAATGTGTCCACAGATTTGTAGATCATTTCTTAAAAATGGTAAACATATGACATATTTGCCACTGTTTTCTGCATATTGCTGCTTAAATTTAAATCCTATTAAGGTAAAATGTTAACAAAATTAAATATCACTTCAATCCTCTTACCTGGCTCACAGCTTTTCTCATCTTCCCCATATTTACAGTCTTCATGGCCATCACATTTCCACTTTGCTGGTATACACTGACCATTGGAACATTGAAACTGATCTTTGGAACAACTCATCTCACAATTTCTCTATGACAAACAGAGATGTAATTAAAATTAAAATTTTAGAAAAACATCTACAAGCTCAAAAAACAGGAAAACTTATGTACAGAAAACCTGGACCTAGTCTTGGAACAACTGTTTCACAATTTCTCTGTCCAAAAAACACAAATGTAATTAAAATTACATTTATAGAAAGATGTTTATAAACCCAAAAGACCAGACAACTTATGTTAGAAACTGGAAGTGTAGGAACCATATCTACTATATAAAAACGGCTCAGATGCTAATATTTCAAGGAAGCCCATGACTATATAACAGAATTAAAACCATTTTCCACTTTTGTTTGTCCCTGTGGATCATCATAAAATAAAAAATGAAAAATGAACACAAATTTTATAGCTTCATCATGCTAATTAAGTTACTCTGAGAAAATCATTATTCAGTAGGTAGTTATGGGGTGCTGGAATTTTAATAATTGTAGGTGACAATGAAGATCATGCTATAATAAAAGGGTAAAAGAATTACTTCTAGCTGGCACAGTAGCCAGAGCCACTCAGGAGGCTGGGGTAGGAGGACTGCTTGAGTCCAGAACTTGGAGGCTGTAGTTTGCTGTGATAGGCACACATGAATACCACTGCGCTCTAGTCTAGGCAACATAGTGACATCCTGTCTCTAAACATTTTTTTTTCTAAAATTATTTCTAAGCAATTACATTCAGTTCATTGGCTATAGGGAGTAGAAGGCTAGGGATATGGAATGTGAAACAAACAGGAATCTAAAGACAAATCCATTCTGCACTGGCAAAACTTCCCCTGGTGTTCTTTCTTTCTCTTTTCTCTATCTCTTTTCCTTTGCACCTTTTACAGTTTACTTGTTTATAATTCTCCTTCTCCTCTTTTCTGACATTGGTCTCTAAAGAACTGTGAAATGAAATGTCAAATTTTCATTTCTTCTAGTCCATATACAGATTTTATGTAGAAGTCAAACAAGATGGCAGATTTATCTTTAGGGATGTGTATATGAGATAAGTGAATTGGATTCACTAGAAATCACCTTCCCTGGGTCTGAACACTGTGGTTGAAATGGAATACTCTAGGGAAGTGTCTCACTGGGATTATATTTTCTGTTGTTAAGAAATTTCTATTTTTGCTAAAATGTACTTGCCTGCTTCTTTCACAAAAGGTGTAACAATCTCATGGTTTGTGGAACTCCCAGTGAGTAAAGTACATTGAACTACTACTTGCTGCTTCATCCCAGTTTCATTCACATGTAAGGAAGGAGAGTTCCTAAATTCCAGAAATTTTCTCTTTGTGATGACAGTTTAAGTAGAAACGGAACTACCTAAGAAAGGCTTTTTCTGTGTAAACGTAATCAGAAATCTGGGCTATCTGAATAGTAAGCTAAATAATAGAAAATGGTGTGAAAGACATTAGAGAATGTTATAAGAAAGAGATGTCATATGTTTTATTCAACACTGTATTCTCCATACTGTCAGTGCCGGGGATAAGGTAAGCATTCAATACAAACTGCTGAGTGAATTAATAAATTAATGAATTAGCAAATGTAGAAAACAAATATAAATTAACATCTCAGGTGACTTTATCCCAGCTCTACCAGGATAAAGATCATATCTGTCTGTGAACCAAGTATCTAATACCGTGACATAATTATAGTAACTATCCAGTAAACATTTTTAGAAGCAAGGAATAATTATCCCTGTAACTGAGCTCGGTTAAGTAAAGTAGCTCAATAACCAATGGCATTGGTGTGTCTACAGTGTTTGAACAACAATATATAAGGTAGCATGCGTAGGTACTTTTCTTATCATCAGAAAATTGTAATCTGAGATTCATTGCACTGTATGTGTGTGTTTGTGTTTGTGTGTATGAGCATGTGTGTCTATAGACGTGTTGTATTATTTTAGGCATTTAAAAACACATAGAAAAGTAGACGGAATAGAATAGTGTATGCTGTGTGCCCATTATGCTCATTCAACAATTATCAACACTTCACTATGCATATTTCATCCATCATCTCTCCACTTATTTACATTAAGAACATTAAGAATATTTTAACATAACAATAGTATCAGAAAGCTGACAGTATCACAGAATTAACAATAATTATTTAAAACATTCAGCCCATATACAAAATCCAAATTTACATAACTATATAAAATACTGTTTGGTAAAATAAGGACTCAAAAGAAATCTATACCTTGAATTAAAGTTTCTTTAATATATAACTACTTCTCATTCTTCAGATTTTTAAAATTCCATTTACTACTTGAAAAAAACAGGTCATTTATACTATAGAATAGCTCCCATTCTGAATTTGACTAATTACATCTTAAGAATGTTGATAACTTAGCAACCTCCGAAGTGATTAATGAACTTCAGCTTTTTAAAGTATTGTTGTGAACTCATTGATTTTTATACATTTTTGTGTGTGTGTTTCAATCCCTTAAAGTCATTTTTCTTTCTAATGCTCAAATTGTCCCTTGTTTCAGGGCAACTTCCTTTAAGTTTGTTCTTGTGCACTTTGTACACTCTCTTAATAATCTCAGATGTTAGCAGCTCATATTGTCAATTTATTTTTTCAGACCTAAAATTAGGCATATCTCAAAAGAAGCTTTGTTTCTTTTCATTAGAAAATGGTATTTAGAGACCACTTGACGAATTCCAGGATAGTCATTACTGTTGGGTTATAATTGGTTCTAGGACTTTACACTGGTAAAAGTAGAAATTATATATTTTTAGAAAGAGTAGGATTAATCAAGATCTTTTGGATTTAATATGAGAGAATTTTTACTTAGCTTTTTGTTTCTAAATTTATATCTCCTTTCTTTTACTTTTAAATTTTGAGTTCTAATGGCATTGATATAAATAAGTATTTGAACCATGCTACATGTTTCAAATTAGCAGAAGCAATATTATTATTAAAAATAAGTCTATGAATGCAGTTTAAGATGTATTTGCTTTTTCTGTTTTACAACATATTATGCTAAATGTAGAGGACAAATATTAGAATTTAAAATAAAGAAAATAATAATTTAAATAATCATTCTCTGTGTGTGTCACAGAGATAAACACTTGCTATAAAATTAGACTGAACCAAGTTTGTAAATTTCTTCTTTGTTGTTGCATCTTGTTATTAAAAAGCTAATCATACTATCAGTTTTATTTACACAGAACCTTATCTTCACATTTCTCCCAATTTTTGCTCTTAATATGAGAGTATCCTGTGTGTAATTCTTCCTTCCAGACATTTGTTCAATCCTTTTTCTTTGCCTAGATTGTAGAAAAAAAAAAATGGAAATAAACTACCAATAGTGTTAGCTACTTTGTGACATATACACTGTACTAAATGTCTATAAATATACAGAAAAGTGACTGTACTACGGTTAATTTCATTTCTTCTGAGCTTTACCATGAAAATGTCTGGATATATGGAGACATATTTAGCCATCAAATATGTCCATCAACTTATGGCATGAGAGACATGGTGGTAATACAGATATCTATTTTCACATGAATAAGATTTTAAAGAAGAAGCAGTGTTTGATTCCGTAAATGTACTTTGCATATCTTGTGAATAAGATATAAGATAAATACACAAGCCTTAAATAATATATCCCCACCTTTTGATGTTTTACAGATTACACAGATTGGTGCAACATATTAAATAAACAAAATTGAAACCAAGATATTTTTCATGGATGAGTTTACTTAAAATGTATTTTTCTGCCATAAAAAAGTTTAACGAAATTTTCAAATGAATGAATGCTAGGTAAATATGTGGCTGGTAAATGTAAAAGATGTAACTCTCCTGTGTGTTTTTTTAAAAAAAAATGTTTGCACATTGCCATGTGTGTACCTATGCAACAATCCTGCATGATGTACCCCTGAACCTCAAGTACAATTAAAAAAAATGGTTTGACTTTTATTTTGTGAAGAGCTTCATGACTAGAAGTGGTGTATTTTTCTACTTCTTCTCTTGAGTGACCTTTGCATCCTTGAGACTTAGGTTTTGCTGGCCCTCGAGTGAGAAATTACATGTGTATATTTTCAAAATCTAGGCTGTTGAATGTGGTTATTGTGACTTTCCAAAATGGCAAGAAGAGGCAGAACTGTCCAGTACTACAGGGAATGGTTTTCATGGGTTTTATAAATAGCAGAGACCTGTAGTAACTCCCACAGAGGCAAGAAATCAGTGGATGCCTAGGGAACTGGGAACTGAAACACAGAAACCTCCAGAGCTGCAGCGAAAATCCTCTGGCCAAGTCTGCAGTCAGTGGGAGGACAGTAATGAGAGGTGAGTACATATGCTTGTCAACCAGAGCAGCACAACCCTAGGGAATCACTGTAATACCAGAGCCATGATGTACACTGAGGAGCACAGAGCTCTTTTTTCCTTCACCTCTGACTAGACTTGATCGCACAAACCTTGTGTTTCTCCTATTATCTATGAGAAATAACTGATATTGGGATATGAAAGCTTGGGGTCCTTTTAAATTTGAGAAAAAATATAAAATCATGTGTAGTTTATTATTTTTAAAGCATCATGGAGTAATTAATATCTGTAACAGAAGGACATGAATGCATAAATAACAAATTGTATTAGGTATTATTAATGTTAGCACAAACTAAGTTTACAGAATTATCCAGAGAATTTGTAAACTTTTTCACTTAAAGCTATGTGTACATAGGCCTTATTATAAATGGATTGTGATTCATCACCGAAGCAAAGCTCAACCTGTGGTTTCATGAAAATTGATGACCCATATCGATGTCTGTAAGACTATATCTATTGAAGAAAGAGACTGGGGAGAAGAAACTGTTTAAAATGCATAAAATATTAGTCCTGACTATAAATACTGCAGCAAATTTATGAACTAATTCACAGATGGCAGGGGCATCAGCTATAGGGAATAGGATTTCCAAACATCCTTTTCCCAACCCAGCTATTCACTAGTTGAGGTAAAACAGACTATAAAATTAACTGTCAATAGCAGCACAAGAGCTATTCCCTGTGCTGGGGATGTGGAGCAAAGCACATGGATATAATACTTATCTCAGTGTGTCAGGAGCAAAGTGTATTTCTGAGCTGTCCTTGCCACACTTACTGGACTGAATAATAATAATTACAAATGTGCTTCTAAACAGCTGCTTTCTTTGTGTTTGATTTTACAAAGATGCCTACCTCATCAGAGCCATCTGCACAGTCAAAATCTCCATCACACCAAAACCTTGAAGAAACACAGTCCCCATTGGCACAGAGGAAATCTTTCAATGTACATGTCTGTGGCTCTGGGGATAGAAAAATAGCATAGGGTTATTCTATTATATGCAAGTGCATTCCAAAATTTATATGACATATGACATGAGGTAGCATTAAATAAAAAAAATAGGTTAGTCAAACAGAACCAATAAATTGTTTCAGAAGAATCTCATGAAGTACCTATAGTACATAATATAATAGTTTTTCAAATTTATTTTTAAAGTCATGGGTACAAAATGGCATTATAAAAAATAAGTTGGAACAAAAGACAAAAGATAAATGGTCTACGGTTTAATAAAATAAAAAGCCTAAAATGTACCTATTGTCATGTTAAAACAATGATCATTTTTAGTTGCTGGAGTTCTCTGTCATTTCATGTATTTACTTTAAGTACCACATTTTGTGACTGTACCCATGGGGTTATTTGTTATTAACTGGGTAGCGAGTCTAGCCTAGCCTTTGTATTTGACTTTTTATTATGTATTCTAAAGACATTCTAATTATTCAGTATTGTCCCCAGAAAGTGTCTGGAGTTCCTGGAACAAGAAGACTACATAGGGATAATATTAAACAAAGCTAGTTTATAAGAGTCGAAGGTTCTTCTTTAAAAACTGCACATTTGTTTATGCCATTGTTTACTGTGCCCTGCATCACTTGCCTGTCAATTTAGATAACTTAGCATTGATTTAATAATGCTGTCCCATATTCCACATAGGGCATAAGCCAAATAGTAATGACTTACCACTTGGCTTAATTCCTATTTGAATATGATTCATCTGGAAAATGAAGTAGGATTTTAGAAATTTGTTTCTGAAAGTATGACTGCTGGATATCATCTCTTGTTTTGTTTTTGTTCTCTAAAGAGAACTGATATCTTACATAATGAAAGACCTCTTCTTGTTGCCTCTATTCATTCATTGTATTTACAACTGTGTCACACATAATGAAATTCTTATCTGGATCAAGAATGAATAAATAACAGACGTTAAGGAATATCTGTATGTTGCCTGATTTTCTGCACGAAGATTGTGAGTAAATTAGTCTGCCTTTGGATTTTTCTCTACACAATCCATTGTTTCCTACTTATACGGTAACATTATGATGGTTTGGTCTCATGAAGGCGCCTACATTTCTATATAAATAAACCCTTTCAGGGTCAAGCACAGTGGCTCCCTCTTGTAATTCCAGCACTTTGGGAGGTCAAGTTTGGTGCATCACTTCAGGTCAGGTGTTCAAGACCAGCCTGGGCAACATGGTGAAATCATGTTGTGTTATCTACTAAAAAGCACAAAAATTAGCCTAGCTTGGTGGCAGGTGCCTGTAATCACTGCTACTTAGAAGGCTGAGGTGGGATAATTGCTTGAATCTGGGAGGCGGAGACTGCAGTGAGCCGAGATTCTGCTGCACTCCAGCCTGGGTGACAGAGCAAGATTCTGTCTCAAAAAGAAAAAAAAGAAAAGAAAAGAAACCCCTTCAGAACATTGGATTGGAATAACTATAGAAAAAGTAGTATGTGTCAGTAAGCATTTCATTCTACTCTGCTACTTAGTTTAAAACATGACCTTCAAGGTATGAAAAAGACAAGGTGCCATTTGATAGAATGGGGAGATGCCCTTAAATGGATAAACTTCTCATGTTCCTACATTGCTTTATTTAGTAAATGAGACAATAGAAATTTCCCTTTTTGTTTTTATAAGATATTCACATAGACTATGATTTAATCTGAAATATAACTTTATTAATACTAATATTATTTATTATAGCAATAATAATAATTATCATCTACCGATTGCTTATTTGTTATTAGGTACTAGGTAAAGTTAACGCAAACTTGAATTAACTCACCAGTGAATTTTTATAACAACTCTCTAAGAAATGTGCTATACTTACACCATTTTTTAGGTAAGTAAATTGAGGCACAGTGAAAATAATGTACTTCAGATCACCAAGCATGCAGAAAAGCTACTAATTGAACTTGAATCAAGACAACCTGATGCCAGTGCCTGTACTTTTCCCTGGTAGGCTATCATTGCCTCCCATACAATTGAGGAAAAAATAAATGCTCACATATTACAGTGATTCACATTAAATCCCTGGAATGTCAAGTTACTTATCTAAGTTACATGGCTGGCAATATCTATTTTATTAATAATAACAAGAGAAAACTCATTTGCTCTTATCATCATTCCATACTGAGGCTGTTTCGCCATTCTGGTTGCAGACACATGCAGTTTTATTCTTAGAGGAATGAAATTAGAGTGAAACATGTTCATTTTTTTTTTCATGAAAAGAATAAAGAGTAAATTTAAAACATACTTACATATTTAAAAACAGCAGAAGAAACATTTAATTTCATAAGATTGGGAGTTGTATGAATGGGACTAATTTTTCTTCTAATGTTCTAATTTGTCTTTATCCTATTTCAAAGCGTGTTCATTATGTGCTAAACATCAAAGTCCTCAACACACTTTGCTATACAAAATGTTGAAAGTTGTTGATGTAAGGTTAAAAAAAGTTATCAAGCCAGTAGTTGAAAGCATTTGCCCAAGAGTCCCACAGAACACACATTTTCTAGACTTTGTCCTAACATTATTAATTATTCTGTTTCAAAATGGCAGTAGAAAGACTGAGTAATTTGCTTGCAAAAGCTTTTTCAGGGAAAGTGGAAATTCAGCTGTTTCTATCATGTTTTTAAAAATGCCAGCAAATCTACCTCTGAGTAGTAATAATGATTATTTATACATACACAAATGCCATCAAGGTATAGGGTACATAGTCTATTTCTAACCATCATCTTTATATCTCAGAATCTTTTGCCACTAGATAGCTCAAAAGGAAACTCTTTTGAGGAAAATGTAATTTAGTTATCACAGGAAGTCCTAAGGAATTTTTCCTTATTGCTTATCTTACCTTTGATCTTTTCTGGATAAAGTAAAAGACCAATTTTCAGACTTTGTCATGATACTATTTTTCTTGTGAAAGAGAACAACAACAACAAAATGACTATAGTGAAAGCTAACTCATCTGGAAAAAAAAATTGAGTGTGACATTTTCTCCTCTATTTCTAAAATGCTATTTCCATGCCAATTTTCTCTGATATTACCTATACTCCTCGACCAGTAATAGATGGTGAAATCCACACATGAACAATTAACCAGGTTTTCCATACAGGTCACCTAGAGAAGCCAGATTGGCAACCAAGAAGCTTTTGCAGGGTTTACTTTCCTTCCATGTTTCAGAAGGCTAATTGGGATTCTTCAATAAGAATTAAATATAGAGAGCCATAGAAGGTTGGACACGGCGGCTCACACTTGTAATCCCAGCACTTTGGGAGGTCGAGGTGGGTGGATCACCTGAGGTCAGGAGTTCGATACCAGCCTAGCCAACATGGTGAAGCCCCCTCTCCACTAAAAATACAAAAATTAGCTGGGTGCCATGGTGTGCACTGATAATTCCAGTTACTTAGGAGGCTGAGGCAGGAGAGTCACTTGAACCCAGGAGGTGGAGGTTGCAGTGAGCCAAGATTGCGCCACTACACTCCCGCCTGGGTGACAGAGGGAAACTCTGTCCCCCCCCAAAAAAAAAGAATAAAATATAGGAGCATTATGTAGACTGATCATTTCCTTCAATACTGATGGAGGCAAAAACATAGAACCACAAAACTGAAAACAGATTTAGAAGTCATCTTTTACAAAACTGAAGAAAATTATGTTCAGGAAATTAAAGTGGCTTTCAAAGCCATAGCGTTAATGGCACAGAGTAGAAAGACTTCCAGCCTTCACTTTCCCTATTATCTTAAAAACTCTTGTGATAAGTTCAAAAGCTGTATCAATGTCGATGTAAACATCTGACAAGAATTTTTAGAATACAATTAGTATAATTCACACTCTATTCAAATAATCTAATAGAAATTCAGTGTGAACCAGGGATTCAAATAAAGCTGAAGCAACTGGTCTCTCTATGTAAACCTAGATTTTAAATTACTTGTTACTTTAACATCTATTGGATTTTTAGTTACTTCTTAATAATGCAAGGATATAAAGTAATTTATTTTGTATGTCAGTGACTTAGATGGCATATATGGCAAATACTATTTTTATTGATTAAAAATAATATAGATGTTGAGATTTCTCAAGTATTTTCAAACCTCTGATCCAGTTTACAAAATAATTCCAATGACAATGAGATTTTCTTGTTTTAAAGAGCAGAAATAATTGTTGAAGCAAAGTGTCCCTGATGAACACTTAACAAGGGAAATGATAAGCAGAGGATGCTAAAATGGCAATGAAGTAATTATCCTATGTAAATATGAAATGTAGAAAGTTTATTAAATTTAAAATATAGTCAGCAGTCAATTACCCCACTACTATTTGAACTGTTCCCACAACTATCTCTGGGCTATCTGCAACACGATTTAAAAAATAAATGCGTGAAATCAGATTCATAAACAAATGAGTCCAAAAGTGACTTTAAATTATGTTGCTATTATTTTTCAACTACAGTTATGTGTTACATAATAATGTTTCCAACAACATACAGTGGTGGTGACATAAATTATAATATTTTTACTGTACTTCTTCAATGTTTAGAAAGGCAAATACATAGTATAGTGTTAAAATTCCCTATAGTATTCAGTACAGTACGATGCTGTATAGGCTTGTAACCTAGGAGCAATTAGCTCTACCATATAGTTTAGGTGTGTAGTAGGTTGTTCCATGTAGTTTTGTGTTAAGTGCACTTGATGTTGTTCACACAATGACAAAATTGCCTAGCAACAAATTTCTCAAAATCCCCACTATTAAGCAACACATGATGATATAGGTTGATTTTTTGGTCTGTTATGTGTTTCACTACTTAATAATAGCTAACCACAACTGCCAAATGTAAACCAAAGTGCATACCATCAATCAACAATATTTAGAAAATAAGACAACATATAACATGGCCCTAATATATTAGGACAGTGAGGTGTATGGATTGTGAGTCTGTCTGTGTTTACAATTATTTTGACAGATAAAAATAGCAAATATCTTGATAGATTTTATAAAGCAATAGTATTTATTTTTCTAAGGCTTGTTTCTATATGACTAATATTTTGGTGCTTACTATAGATATAATTAAATTATGTTTTCATTCTTTATTGACTAAATTACTGCCTATGTAAGACTACTGGCATTGTCAATGTTAAAACCTTCCCATTTTTTCTGGCCTATTCAAAATAGCGTCTTTAAACCATATTCAATTATCTAGATCCCTTGATCCATCCTCTTACATCCTCTTACATGTTCAAAACATATGAATACACTTTAATATTTTCCATAACATACTCTGACACTCCTCTTACATGTGTAAGATGTGAACATACTGTTATACTTGTCCCATATATATGACTTCTACTCTTCCATATTACAACTGTAAAATACTTTATTCTTGTTCACTGTCATCTCTCCTCTGCAACTTCATCAATATTATTCGTCTTAGGCAACAAGCTCAGAGTGAACAGAAATGGAAAGAGAATCACACATAATTGGGTATTTTATACTGGAATGCTTGATATTGCAACTACTTCCCTTGTTTTTTCTTAAGGGCACTGTGGCTACAGTGATTTGTCACTGAGTTTCCACAGTGACAAGTGAGAGTCAATGTTCTTTCTCCTTGCTTTCTTGTGCCACAGGCTGACTTTCAGATGTCAGTACAATGATATTCAGCCACTTGGAAAACTGCAGCAGACTCAGAATCAGTCTAGCTCTTCTTCCTTCTTCTTTTCTTATTGTAGCAGTAGGCTAACTCCTCACGTATATTCAATCACCCCCTGAATAAAAGTTCTCCGAGACAAAAGTCTCCAGAGTTGGCCTCTCTTTTGCTTTCAACATCCCTTCCATTATTAGGCATTTGCTTTCAGTTATCTTATTGATTATTAACACCAAATATATCAATAACTATGGTAAGTAGATATTTGTACACTTGAGTTCTGGTTTATAAATAAGCAGAAAGTATCTGAATAATTGTGGGTTTTCTTTTTTTTTTTTTTGTATTTATGCCTCTATCCCTACCAGCTCCACCCCACTAGAATTTTATTTTAATCATTAAGTGGATCAGAGAACTTCTATATATAATTTCTAAACACTGGTGATTAAACAAATCTAAAACTCTCTTGACTCTCAGAAATGTTCTTTATCTTTCTAAAGACTATGACCTGTTGGAAGATATTTATGTGAAGAGGGAGTTATAAAGGTTTCTATATTCAGAGTATTCTGTAATCACAATAATCCAGAGATTTCATACTTAATATACTTCATTCCCCAAAACAGGTCAGATTAAGTTTTGAACGTTATCCAAAACATTAGTTAGTATTTTGCAAGCCAAATATCCAAGTGTTTTATTAAGGCTTTCACTCTACTAATTATATGCTTTAATGTAACATATTCTTATGTAGATTTAGTCTTCTGTCTCTGGGGAAATGAATGCTCTTAGTGCAATGAGATGTCTGTGAGAATAGACATTATCATTATTAATCTGCATCACCTCTTCTTGGAAGTAGCAGAATATAAATATTTAATAAATGGAATTTGATTATTATCTTATTTCAAACATGCATGTATAGCTTTCTTTGTTTAAATGACAGTATATAAAAGTGCCAATAGGAAATATATTCAGGCAGAATGTGGCAGCTCATGCCTGTAATCCCCACACTTTGGGAGGCCAAGGTGAACAACATGGGTCCAAGAGTTAGAGATCAGCCTGGGCAACATGGCAGAATTCCGTCTCTACGAATAGTAAAGAAAACTAGTCATGTATGGTAGTATGCTTCCATAGTCCCGACTGGAAGGCAGATGTGGGAGGGCCACCTGATCCTGGGAGATCAAGTCTTCAGTGAGTCATGATCATGCCACTGCTCTCCGGGTTGAGCAACAGAATGAGACCTTGTCTCAAAAGAAATGAATGCTAGAATCTAGAGATACTGTATATACTGCCATACTGTTCAGAAAGTAAAATCTAGGGATAATTACTGTTTTTAAATTTATTACATAAAATGAAGAAGACAGATGATAACAATAGTGTTATTCTATTTTCAGATAAATGCATCCAGAATATATAAGGTGTTGACTGCTCTGGAGGGAATAAATAATATTTCACTGAAATATGCTCATGGGTGAATTTGTAGTGTAAAAGGATTTGAGACTGAAAGGAAATGAATACCATTTGTTAAAGAATGAGATGTTTGTAGTGACTCCACATCATTCAGCTCATTGTGTGAACTTGCATCAAGGGTTTCCTGCATTGCATACTAATGGGTTGCATTAAACCTCATGATACTTTCATACCAATTCTGAAAACTGTAAGAAAATAACTCCCAGGATGAACATTTCAATAATTCTACAATTTGAGATTCAGGTTAATGTAGACTGAATATTCTTGTCCAAATGTGAATATATGTATAAAAATGTGAGCCATAGGACAGATAGGTTCGAATTTATACCTTAACGGAACTAAAAATTGCCATCTTGCTTATTGAATGGGCTGTCAAGCTTGCAACATTATTAGGCAAGAGTTACTTACTACAGTTTTCTTCATCTGAATTATCACTGCAGTCATTTTGGCTATCACACCGCCAGTGATCTGGAATACAGTTGTTGTTTTTACACTGGAATTCATGAGGCCCACAAGTCTTTTTATCTGTAATGGAAAGAACCAGAGTTTGCATTGTAGATTTCCATGAAGCCATCCCTCACAATGTCCTGACTGCCATGTCAAATTCATGGCATTTAATGTTTCCTTAATTCAGTTACTGAGAAACATCCTTAGGAAAAACCAAAGGCAAGTGCTAAGTAAAATTTATCTTTTTGTCTTGTTTTATGTTGTTACTGTTCATGTTTTCATTGTGAGCTAACAAGTAAGAAATGGATTGGCTCATCCAATCAAAGTCAACACAAATCTGTTTTAAGAAATCAAAAAACTGGCTGGGCATGATGGCTTACACCTGTAATCCCAGCATTTTGGGAGGCCGAGACAGGCAAATCACCGGAGGTCAAGAGTTCAAGATCATCCTGCTCAACATGGTGAAACCCTGTCTCTACTAAAAATACAAAAAATTAACTCAGCATGGTGGAGGGCATCTGTAATTCTAGCTACTTGGGAGGCTAAGGAAGGAGAACCACTGAACTCAGGAGGAGGAGGTTGCAGTGAGCCAAGATCACACCACTGCACTCCAGCCTGGGTGACAAGAGTGAAACTGCATCTAAAAAAAAAAAAAAAAAAATCAAAATTATCCTAAGAAGCTCTTATTAATAATTGATCTGTGATTAGTTGCTCTTTCTAAGTCCTGGACACTGTCCACGCATAAACTCATAGATTAGAATAATGCCTTACATGTGTACAGAGTTTGAACACTAATTATGTGCCATTTCACATGAACCTTTCAACATATCCACCAGGAAATGTATTAACTAGCCATTCACATTACAGATGGTGAAGTAGAAACTTTTGGAAATTTAGGAACTTAATAAATTTTGACTATCATTAAATGGCACAGCCCACAGAAAAGAAGTGTGCTTCTACTCCTGATCTAGCACTTTTACAACAAATTTAACTTACATCTGTATCAGCGAGAATCAGTATGCATGTAATAAGAATTTATTTAAAGTATGTCATATGTATTTTAAGGGTAATATTAAACTATATATAGCTAAAGCAGTGCTCCATTAAAACTTAATGTGCATACATATAAGTCACTTGGGATTTTTGCTATAGTAGAAATTGGGATTCAGTAGGTCCGAGTTTCTAAGGAGCTGGCTGGCGACAATATTGCCTTTTCTCTATGAAGCACACTGAATAGTGAGGTTCAGAAGCATCAAGATTATGAAACAAATAACATTAAAATAATAAACTTACAAGACTCAATATACAATTTAGAACACACTTCCCATTCATGTACTCAGATCAATTCCTTATCAGCCATACCAGAGATAGATAGTGAAGTGCTTCCAGTCTCAGACTAGTAAAATAAATTAGCTAAGGGGGTGGGTAAGTTATTGGTGGTGGTTCTTAAACTTTACTTCGAAACACAACTTATAGAATTCAGACTCAAATACCATTGCGAAAGCAAAAGTGACTTAGGTCTACTTACGAAAATTAAATACTGAGCATCTATTGAGGATCCAGCCTGACTCTTGGCAAGTATTTTCATACACATATGATCACACTCAACCCTCATAATATTTTTATGAAGTATTATTATATTTATTTAAGTATGTAAGGAAAATAACTCTCGAAATATTTAAACAATTTCTCCAATTTTACAAACATGTTAAATGGCAAATAAGGAATTTATATCCAGCTCCAGCTTCAGCAACATTTTATTAGAGAAATTCTCATGATAGATTTCAAATACATTTTTCTACTTAAGAAAAAAGTATTGCCTGAATTTCACTTTCTCCTTTTCTTCCTGCCTGCTAATAATTATTCAGAATATAACCTATGTCAGGTGAAATGTCATGTGTTTTATATTATATCCACTTTGTGTTATATTTAACTTTAGATTTAAACATTTGTCCAAATTCTGCAGAATTTCTAATGTAGCATTCTACAGACCTCAGTCAATCAGGAAATCTGTTAAGCTGAATGACCACTGTAAATATGAGGTTTTGTACTGAACAATTTGGATGACTGTTTCATTTGCCAGTCATAATAAACTTTGAAAATACTTCTCTAAGTATAAATATTAGTCTTATTTAGTCCTTGTATATGTTGCTTGTACTATTTTTTTTTGAGATAGAGTTTCACTGTATCACCTAGGCTGAAGTGCAATGTCACAATCTCTCCTCACTGCAACCTTCGCCTCCCAAGTTCAAGTGATTCTCCTGCCTCAGCCTCCCTAGTAGCTGGGATTACAGGTGCGCACCACCATGCCTGGCTAATTTTTGTATTTTTAGTAGAGATGAGGTTTCATCATGTTGACCATGCTGGTCATGAAATCCTGACCTCTGGTGTTACTCCGTCTCAGTCTCCCAAAGTGCTGGGACCACCGTGCCTTGCGTGCTTGTACTATTTTAAAATAATGTCTTAAATTTTTAGAATATAAGAAATATCAGAGTGGACAAGAAAAATAGCCCATGTAATCCAGTTTTACAACACTGACCCTCAGCATAATTCTCATTGACTTCTAAAGGTTACTATTTGGTACTGACAATCAATTTAATGGGTGTTTTGTTTTTTTTTTCTAAATCCCTTTTGCATTTTTTTCTGTATTTAAGCATTTGTATCATAGATCGTGTTTAAAAGTATCTGCACCTATTTCTCATCAAAAACAAGTAAGAGCTCATTGCTAAGATTTCCTTTTGGGGCGTGAAAAAATAGTAATGAGAGAAACACGAATTGCTTTATGTAAAGTTATACAAATGTTATGTTTCCAAGTTATTTAACTTTTTTGTTCCATAAAATTACTTGTAAAAATTACAAATGCAAATTACATAGCATTGCTTTGCATTTCAAACCTCCCTTGAGGTGATACACATACACACACACACACACACACACACACTCACACACACGCACACGCACACTCACACACACGCACACACACAAAGAAACACATTTTAGAGGGGAAACTGTATGAGTAAGGTCTAAAATGTCAGTTCTCAAATTGGCTACCCATTAAAATCACTTGGGGAACTTTATAAAAATCTCTTTGCCCAAACCATATCCTATATAAAATCAAACTCTCTGGGGTAGGATTCAGACATCAGTATTCACTAAAACTAGACTATGATTCCAATGAGAAGCCAAAATTAAAAATCACTGGCTCAAAAAAATGAAGTAAAATAGAACATATATATTTCCACATTATATTACCTACAGAGTAATCAATATAAAATGCTCATAATATGTAATGTTTTATATTAACTTATATTGTTAAATAGCATTCAAATATCTCATTATTCCCTTTTTCAAGTATCACAAGTATGGAGAAAACAAATATAGTTTGAAACTTGCTTTCAATAGTAGAATTATATGTGGTGTATAATGTAAAACTATTGGTGTTTATATATGCATGGGATATTTCTAAAAAGGGATTTAAAAATCTGGCACTGGGGATGTCTCTGGGAGGAACACATGGAGAAGTAAAATAAAAAAACAATACTGGGAGGGAGTGGAATTTAAGTTTCTCTTTAGACCCAAATGAATCTACTAACTACTGAAAGTAATAAACAAATTTAAGAAGGTAATAGAATATAAGATCAATATATAAATTTAATCGTATCTTTATATGTTAGCAATAAACAAAAATGAAACAAACTGGCAATGGTATCATTGAAAAAACACACGCCTATGAATAAATCTAGCAAAATTTATGTATGATCTTTATACTGAAGACAATAAAATGTTGCTGAGAAAAATGGAATAGTGCCCAAGAAATGCAGATTACATATCATGTTTGTGTATTAGAAAATTTCAAATTGTTTAAAATGTTAATTTTTTCTAATGTGATATATAAAATTAGTGTAATCACTGTCAAACTACAGCAAGTTATTTTTCCTGAAATAGATAAGATTGTTGTAAAATCACATGGAAATGCAAAGGTTGTAGAATCACAAAACATTTCTTTAAAAAGAAAAATAAAGCTGGAGAATTTATAGCACCTAATTGTAAGACTTACTATAAAGCTACAGTAATCAAAGAACATAGTGTTGAACAAAATGAATAAAAATTAAATAATGTACAGATGATCAGTTGAGTCTTAACAAAGCCCTCTAGTCAATTTAATTAAGAAAGGCAAATGTTTTAAAACAAATATTGCTGAAACAAGTGGTTATCTTTATAAAAAACATAAATCTCCACCCCATGCCATATATAAAAAAAAAATCTGAGAGTATAAACATAATATAAAACTTCTAGAACATAGTAAGATATTCTTATAATGTTGGAAAAGATGAGGGTTACTTGGACAGGCCTCTAAAAAAAAGATTCACAATAATATAAAAAATTGATAAATTGGACTTCAACAAAAAGTGTTTTCCTATGTAAAAGACACCATTAAGCAACTGAATGGATGAAGAACATATTATTAAATATGAAGATTTATCACATACATATCTTGGAAAGGACTGATTTAGAATATATAAAAATTCGTTTACAGCCTACCCATTTGCAGGCAAAACAAACAGAAACTTGACATACACACACACACACACACACACACACACACACACAAACAGACTTGAGTAGCAAATAAAGATTCTCAAAATCATTAGTCATCAAGCTAATGCAAATGAAAACTACATTGAGATACAATCATGTTATCTACCGGAACTACTCAAATAAAAAAAAAATGTATCTAATTTTTATGAGACTATAGAGGACCTAGACTCTCTTGCTGGTTTTCATAAAGGTAAACATGTCTGCCATGTGACTCAGCAATTTTACATGTATGTATTCATCCAAGAAAAATAAAAGTAAATATTTACAAAACTAATTTGTATAAGAAATGTTATTGCTATAAACTTTCTGATTATGATAAGCAAACAGCATATCAATTAGCTACTAAAATTATTCAAATTGGAATATATCCATAAAATGAAATATTACCCAAGAATAAAAAATAAGATCTTAGCAAACCATAAGTCAAAAATATTTTTAAAGCATTATGCAAATAAAAGACCCATAAACAAAACAATACA